AACCATGTCACAGAAACCATAAAATATCATAAATGGCCTATTATCAGCCTTGCCATCACAGCAACACTGGTATGTGCTATGATTTAGACTTCCTGTGGTAGCGCTGGCAAGTCTAACAGACAGGGGGATAAAGAATAGAGGAATTTTTAAATGGTTACCTAAATTTGTTGTTTTAAAGTTGTCTTGATCGGATGTAAGTTTCATTGTGCTTTTTATTCTGTCTTTTCTTCATCTTTGTTGATTTTTCTACTCACCGTTTCCAGGCAGTTTTACTTTGCAGGGCAGTAATTGTTAACTTTGGCATATGTAGCTTTGAAAAAGAGACCAGTCAACACAAGAACTAACTCGCATTTGTCCCACCAACACATAAAAACTGTCTACCTAAACAAGGTTTCCTTTCACACAGACACTTGAATGACTGTTGAACATGACAGGAGTCACACTGAGGACCTTTTGGAACCAAAAGATTTAAGTTACTTCATTCAACCCTGAACAGCACTGAAAACAATTGATTAAAGCTGTTTCTGTAAACCATTTCTTATCAATGTTCTCTGCCTTTAATCATGTGATATAAAAGCACCCCACCACGGCTTAGAAATCACCTGAAAGCTTCCTTTGAGGGGAAGCTCGCCTTTTTATGAATAGTTATCAACCAGTGTTTCAGTCTACTGCAGTGAATTAATTCAATTTTTATTGATACTATCTTGCATGTGCAGATTTAAAAAAATTAAATAAAGCATGATTGCATTGCCCAAAAGTTTCATGATACAAATTGCTGAGTCTTTAAAAACAGTGCTAAACTACTGGAGCCAATAGACTTTGAATTGTACACTCAACACAACAATAAAGATACATCATGAAGTAACCAGGAAAGCTGATTCATTACTTGACAACCAAAGAAAAATCTATTCAATCTTCTAACTTTAAGTTTGCGTCAAGGTTTAGAGAACAGGTGGTTTTAAAAAAATGCAAATCATTTTCTAAACCTCCATGTTTAATTTAACAGCCAAGAGACAGTCTAATAGATTTGGCATTAAGGAAGATCACTGAGGTTAAATTCAGGGCTGGAAACAGTCATTACTACTTAAATGCTCTTCTCAAGTACTTGACTTTAATGAAGCAGACATAAGATGACTCATGTACTTACTCAAGTAAAAATACCAAATTTGCTCTTTTGAAGACTACTCAGTTACTTAGTTCCATATGGGCATTGTGAAGAAAGGTCTTATACTAACCAACACCTCTCTAATTCAGTAACTCTACAGACACTGAAAATCCAAATCAAACTGAATCAAAATACACCAGAACTGTAGGATACCCTCTAATTCTTACCTGTCCAGATGTAGTTAATACATTCAAAATAGTAGGAAAATGTTAATGGGACCGCAGGACTCATTCATCACATTTTAACTATTCTTACAGATGCTTTCCAGGTGGAATAAAAACCCACTTTGAGAACATCAGTGGTCATTTCTTGGACATCTAAATCCAAATGATAAGAACACATAGTTCCAGATATTAATGCATGATGACACACTCACCTCCAGAGTCACTGCCACAGGGACAAACGGACCACAAGTCTCTGATGAGTTGTATTTAAATCAGTTCTGTGACGACTGCCTTAACTTATTCTCATTTTCTATCATTATCTTCCACTCTGTATATGTGTCTCTTTTTCTCTTTCTCTTTCTCTCTCGGATTTCATCTGAGCAGTCAGACAGCAGTGGATGTGACTGTGATAATCTCTGCTGGATAAATAGTAAGATAAGAGCAGACCTTTGCTCACACTGTCCCCTATTGGCTTTATTACCAAGAGTGGGTGGGACTTGTCATCATTTGCACCAACTGAAAGGCGTGTGTGTGTGTGTGTGTGTGTGTGTGTGAGAGAATGTGGAAGAGCCAACTCTGGCCAGCAGGTTAATTCGAGTCAATTTTTTACTGGATCACAGTGTTTATTTGCACTGCTGGCCCCAGGCTGCAATCGTGTTTGTTAAGCACAGACTCGTATGTCCGCATGTCATACTGTTTAAATATATCCTGCAGAGTGGATTACATAGCAAACACAAGATAAGCTATGAGATGCAACAAGCAAAAAAGTGCTGCTGTTATCTCTGAGAACTGTGTGAGAAACAACCTATATCTGTGCTGAATACACAATTAATAGAAGGTATCAATACTCTCACGTTTGTTACTAAATGCTTTAAAGTCAAAGACAATCAACCAGAGTGAAACTTAGCACACTGCTACTTTTGTCATTCTTTTCAAAACACAGTTATTTGACACTGGGATTTAAAAGGTGTATATTGTGCTTCTAGATAAACAGGATGTTAGAAATTGCACAGTTTGATTTTTAAAAAGTTACTAGTTCCCAGAAAACTGACTTTGTGCATTACATGACTGCTAACCATTTTGCATAGTGATTTGATTTTTTGTCTTTTCCAGCAAGCTGCCGGTTTTCATTTATTCCCTTAAAGTATGTAAATCACCTTGAATAGACTTGTTGCTGGAGAGAGGTACGTAAATGTTTTGTCGCTAGTGGTCAATATTCTGTTATTTTTGTAAGTCAATGCAAGAAAATTACACAACAGTGCCAAAATAAAGTCCCTGCAAGTTGATTTAAAAAGGAAAACAATGGCACCTTGGTACCTAGAATAACAATTGTAACAATCTAAAATACAACAGCATTTGATGGTTATAAAAAATATATATAATTATAAACAATTTGGAGTATGAAGTATAAATCTGTATGAACACTGGGGCTTTCAGTACAAAGTGAGAATTTAGTGGGCAAGGGAGCTGTTGGACATCAGCCTTTACTTTTAGGCCTTGCTGGGGGTGCATCGGTTTGGAGGTGTTCAGAACATGTAAAAATGAGTCTTAACCATTGATTCTCCAAGGTGAACTGACCACACTGAATCATCTCTGTCACTGAATGAATAAGCAGTGGCAACAGTGGAACTCCCTTCACTATATATCACCCCTAGTAAATGTCATATGTAAAAATCAAGCATATTTTAATAGAAATATTTGTATTATTTGACTCCACTTATAAAATATAAATAATTTCAACATAAAATGTCAAAATTATGGCAATCGTATTTATTCAATTAAATCTAACTCAAAAAAATTACGTTCATCCTAATTTGCCCATAACATCCTGTTTGGGGGGACACCTGCCAGGTGAGGCGCACACTACTCCTCATTCCACAACTGAATTCCTACTTTGGGTAAGTCTTTAATATTCATCGTTGTGTCTTTTTGTTTTACTTTAACCACGGTGTTTTTACATTTTTCAAATGTTTTGAAGGACGGTGAGTTTGCCATGACTCGGCCAGACTTTTTCAGACAACTTGACTCCTGCTCCAGCTTATCACCGATCTTTTTCATTACGTGTCTGGCGCATTAATTGCCTGGCTTGCTGAAATCGGAGGGCATTTGCTTTACTGGGCGGGCAGGAGCGGCGGCCGTTATCACCTCCATGTCGGTCTTCTAACGAAGTACTACGTGCGGTTCGGTTCCGCGGCTCATTTGCATTTATTTCAATTCATGATTAACAATGCTAATAAATTAATTAAAAACGTTAATTTAAAAAAAACAAAATAATTTATGTGATAAATGAATGCTGTGAAGTGAACTATAATCATTTTTAATTATTATTAATATTATTTAATATTTGTTTATTTTTCTCTTTCAAATTTAGAATGAAGAATGGCGGAGCCTGTGAAGCTGAGGAGTCATCATCGAGGAGGGATGACTTCAGAAGACTTGATCTCCACTCAGGGGAAAGCCAAAGACTTTAATGGAATTGCACAATACAATTCGTGATACATTTGGAATTGAAAGAGACTTTCGCATTCAATTCATGGATCCTGACTTCAATAATGAGTTCATGAACATTACATCGATGCAAGACATTCAAGACAGAGGAACAATTAAGCTTGTGTACATGCAAAATTATCTGGATATGAGTTCCACTTCGAGGCTGAACTCTCCAAGCACTCCTGGACCATCTGCAAGTCCATCAAACATTCACACGTCTCACAGTGTGTCCTCATTGTCTTCATCTGATGGAACATTGGATGTCCTGAAGTGACTGTTAATGCGTTGAAAAATAAATCAAGAGATGAATGCTTCCCAGCCAAAAATGTAAAGAAGGCTAAAAAGGCAGAGGTCCTTCTTATCCCACTGGTGAAACAGATGAAAGTCTGGAAAATTTGAGAGTTGAACTTTTGAATGATGTGAGACAAAGAAACAGGGCATCAAATGTAAGAGAGAAGATGTCTAAAACTTTCTCCTACCGAAGAAAATAAGTGGTGCATGGAAGAGTTTAAAGTGAGGTGGCCTGCACTTTTCCATATTGATGAGGTAAATACAGGCTTGCTTCCCTCCTGTGTGCCATAATTTTTGTAATTATTCAAGTGTCTGGAAATGTTTTTCAATCAGTGGAATCTCTTCACACAGGCTACAAGTGATGTTCATTCAAAAAGGGCAGCAGTCCTCAGGGCACTTTGCCTCTACCTTGGTGAGGAGGATGGAGAGGTGTCTAGTGTGTGTGTACAAGAATAATTTACTGTTACAGTGCACTATAATAGATTACTTGACATGTAGTGATGCTTCTAGTGTTACCTGTTCAAGTCAAGTAGGGTAAAATGTTTTATTTGTGTCGCTTACAGTATATGATAGATCCCATCATGGAGTCAAAGCACATCATATAATACCCATAAAACAACTGGATGCACAAATGTAGCTTGTGTGGACAAAGTATTCAAATGTTTCCCGTTTCTCCTATTTAATTAAAATTGCAGGACATCGAAGGAAATGACATGTAGACAGCCATGCAGAGGTGCACCATGGGCATTTATGTCATCAGGCAAGGAGAATGGAGGAATCCTGGACATTATGATGACATTGCATTTTTTGTTGAAGGAGTGATCATCCTGGACAACATTGGATCTGAAGCCCAGGCCTGTGCAGTGATGCTTGGAGTGATCTACGCACTGAACCTGGCCTACCCCAAAGAACTGAGACACTATTACGAATTCATTCAAAAAGTACTCATGCAGATGGATGGGGAAAAGCTCTCCCCCCCCAGGGTCCTTGGCCTAAAAAACAAAATCAGTGTTGGACTGTAGTAATTCTTCAGCCATACTTGTAATGACATGATGTGGTTCGTTGTTTATTCTGTTAATTGTGAAGGGATGTCTAGTGTGATCTCAAATGGTAAATGTAATGTAAATGGACCTGTACTTGTTATAGGCCTTTCTAGTCTTCCGACAGCAACTCAAAAGCGCTTTTAACACTACGACCATTCACGCCTTTCACACACGCATTCAGCACAGCGATGGCAAGTCCATCGAACAGAAACTAACTCATTCATGACACATTCAGCGACAGCTGATGCGTATGGCATCAAGGAAGGCAATTGGGGTTCAGTATCTTGCTCAAAGGATACTGTCGACACGTGGCCGCCGGGATCGCACCAACAACCTTCCGATTGGGGGACGACCCGCACCTAAAAACCCTCTGAGCGCACAGCCCCGCCCAAATGGAACTGCCAGTAAGTGTTTCACGAAGATGAGAAAATGTTTGTGTACAGGATAGAAGTATTAACACAGCCAGGTGGTGAGGACATTACACCCAACACACTAACTTACTGCTTCTTCTGTGGTGTTATGGCTATGTAATGAAGGATCAACTGCTCTTGTCTGCTCCAGGCCAATATTCAACAGAATGACAGGATATTCACTTGAATTAATCTTCTTACACTCAACAAAGCCACTTGTTTTATTATATCTGTTCTTCAATGAACCTTTGCAGTTTCCATATTGTTGTGACCTCAGAGTCAGGCAACCTGTGTTTGTTTCCCAGACATGGGCCACTCTGGTATGGTTTGTGTTTGAATGTTGCTGAAACTTTTTTTTCTCCTGGCAATGTTCTCAATTGAAGGTATAGGTATATTTTGTGAAAAAGCTGTAAAGTAGCTCTAGAAAGGGTAACCATGGCTTTACTTGTAACAGGGAGAGAACTAGTGTGCTGCCTAGTCTCTGATCAGGACGCTACACAAATGTGTCATTTTATATTGTTCATTCCATCCTAATGGTTATGGTTATAATTATGGTTGACAGAATCTGAACAGCGGGTTTCTGCTTTCTCATGTTTTATCTCTTTAGTAGAGGCTTTTAAAAGATAAGGGTTAAAGTTAAAACAAGTATTGTGGTTTATGCACTTTGCATTTTACAGGTTCTTGTCTTACAAGACACATTGTACATGTTGAGAGCAAAAGTTGCCTCCTGTCTTGTCTCTGATCAGGAGACTCGACTTACAATGTATCAGTTTGTCTTCTTTTTTAATGGTCGTTTACAGAATCAAAGCATATTTTTATTTTTATTTTTTTACAAACATGTTCATGTATCTGTTAAAAAACAGTGTTTGCTATCTCTGCACTTAGTATTTACAGGTGTTCATCTTATAAAACGATTTTTGGGTCATTAGACTTCTCTGATATGAGATGTTAAGAATTTGTATTATATTAAAGTTTGTTATCTAAACACATTTTGTGGTTCTGTGTGGTGTATGATGCTCAGTGTTAAATGTATTAAGTTTAACTAATTATAGCTAAAACATTTAATTAGAATCAACTGAATAAAAGGTTTAGTTTTAAACAATTTAATTGGTTTGAAAGAGCACAAAAAAAAACAAAAAAAAAACAATTTATTTAAGTACATTCAAAATGGGTTTAATTGGACTTGGAAATTTAACTGAAATGTACTCAAAGTAATTGAGGTAAAAT